CACTCCACCAAAGCACCAGAAAAGGCCCCAAAACCCCAGGAGGTCAAGCAAGACCCGTAAGTTTGGATTCTGCACCACCATCCCCACGCACCTTTGCGACTCTCGTCTGCTGCAGGCAGGTAATCCACAGAGAACCAGCACAGGAACAGACAATGTGTGCAGCCCCACCAGCTACCCCTGCCAAGGTCACCGGCACTGCACCGAAGAGGGCTGAGATGCTGCAAAGTGAAGCTTCCTCGCCGCAGAAACCCTGAGCAAGTTTTAGCCAGGAGCTGTCAGCCCCATCCTCCCACCAGATCTGCAGTTTCTTTCGCTCGTTGGATAAGCACAGCATCTAAAGAATAGGTTTGATCACATCCAAAGCTCCTCAGAGATCAAAGCAACCATCATCCTCCCAGTTTCGATGCATTTCTTTCCTTTGAAGCAGACACTGCTACAGTTTTGTTAGGCTAAAAAACAAGGTGCAGGAGACGCAGGTGAAGTCCTCAGCACCCCGTGCCCACAGCCTCCGTTCCCAGTGCAGCGTCCAGCACATGGGGACAGGGTGGGATGTAGCTCAGAAGCAGGAGTAGGCTCCTACCACCTACCAGAAAGAGCTCTGCCTTGCGGGACTCCCCTTTCACAGAGCAAGTCCTGCTTTCAGGGCAGGACGACGTCCTACAGCTTTATTCTTGGTCAACACAAGAGGCAACTCCACACGAGGCAGAAGACCCACCGCCTCCTGCCTTGAGGGAGAAGAAACATTTCCTGCTCCTAGAGACCCGGCAACGCTGTTCTGCCAACCACAGCAGCAGGAACTTTCTCCTTTCTCTACGTTTCCAGAAGTTTTCATCTCGCCAAAGATCTTCTGGGCCATTTCACAAGCCATGTTCGGCACTGTGGTGTTTCTTCTCTACTACCGGACAAGAAACCAGGAAAACTAAGCAGGAGGGATTTCCCAGAGCATTTCTAAATGCACACAAGCAACATAACCACCCTTCCTACTCTGAAGTAATAGCCTGGAACACAGGAACCTTTTGAGCACTGAACCGAGGGGCACGGTGGCTTCAGCACATTCACAGCATCACAGAATGGTTTGGGTGGGAAGGGACCTTAAGGGCCATCCAGTTCCAACTCCCCCGCCATGGGCAGGGACACTTTCCACCTCAGGTGTATTTATACTGCGCTACCATATCACTTTGCTCACCACAAAGGGTATCAAAATGGTTCACAAGCCCTTCACAGGCCAACACCAAGCACCCCCAAGGAAAACGTGTACCTTCTGCCTTGGGTGGACTAGAGAGGCAGGGCTGCAACCCCCAACATTACTCTTTACTATTGCTATTTGCAACCAGAGAAGAACACCTTCCAAAATGCATTTCAGACACCTGCACGTGGATCTCCAACGCGTTTCGCAGGGGAGGCCCCTGCGCAGAGGCAGCTGTGGACAACCCGAGCGGGCGGCATCAGCAGCACGTCTGCTCGCCCGACCGGCATCTCCTTCCCTTTGGGGTAGGAAAAACCCACTGAGGCAAAAATCAGACCTACAAGCCCAACATACCAAGTGTATTTGTTGTAAATGCTTAAAAACACGGAGGCAGCACCAACCACGTGACTTGCCAACAGCCTGTCAGGTGTGTGTGACACGGCCTGAACCGTGCAGACCCAACCTGACCGCGGGTACCGCAGCTGAACCCCCACGTGAAGCACGTCCAGCCCAGGCTTAGCTTTTGCTTTCAGTCATCGAATCTCCTGGCCACACGCTACCCCCGAGCACAAGTTTGTTCCCTGTCTCGGCAATCCGAGCCAAGGCTCCCCAACCTTTACCCAACAGGCAGTTCTAGGGACAACTCAGCCAGAGACAAGGTTCTCTTGTACCTGCTGGACCGGACCAGCAGGGCACACACCATCTTCCCGACACAGAACTGCGGTGGTCGCTGCAGCCTCTTCCCAAAAGACAAGAGGAGCTTTTGAAAAGCCCCAGCAGGTAGAGACATGCCCTGCCTCAGACCTCGGCCACGTCTGGGCACCAGCGGGGACCTCGATCCCCAGCCAGCTCTCAGTAACCCCAGTCGCTTGTGCGACCGGAGAGGCCCAGTCCCACGCTCAAACCTCGCGGCTTTCTTCAGCCCTCGCCAGCTTTTCAGAGGCCACCGACTAACACCAAATGCAAAAGCCATAAAACCCACTGTCACGGAGGGTGACTTAACTGAAAGGAGACTGAACTGAAAAGTTAAAGCACTAAAACAGAATTAGTTCTGGTTTAGCCCAAACCAGGACAACCACACAAGCCTCCTTGATCTACTGATGTTTCCACAGCCGAAAATCGCAGCAACTCACACCAGTCTGTGCTGGAAGCTGACATTCAGCTGCCCGTCTGCCACCCCTGCGCCACCTAACACGCTCCACCTCACTGCCTGCCTCCTCCTCCTCCTCCTCCTGACTCAGCAGCCGCCTCTCAACTGCCGCTTACCTTTGGGCCGTGGTCGGCCTGTCTCCGGACGGCTCCGGCGCAGGGTTGCGGGGACGATCTCGGGGGGAAGGTGAAGGTAATCGCGCAGGTACTGGATGCCCTCGTTGGTCAGATACCAGTAGAAATGCCTCCACGCAAACTGCTCTTTCACATAACCACGGGATTTCAGAGACTGGAGAGAGAACTCTCAGTTACTTCATGTAGGAAGCCAGTTATCATTTAACACCTTCAATCAATACCCTCACCAGATGTTTTATGAATGTGAGAGCTTATCAGGGGTATGGGGGGAATAAAGACTTAGAAACAGATAAAAGTTCACATGCACAGGACAAAATTACAGCATCATTCTCATTCGGTGAGAAAATACAAGGCTACCACACACAGAGGTATCACAGCTTCAAACATGGAGCGAGAGATGTGGATCCACACAAGAATAACCTTCCACGATCCGTGGGAAACAATAAACCAAACAGGAGGTAGCAAAAATCAGGAAAATGGGAAAATAACAAGAAACGGCAACGTCTGCCAATGTCTGGTAACAGCTGACCACGTTTGCTCGTCTCGTGTGCCCAGATCCCAGCTGGCCAGGGACCCGTCCCTCACCTGCATGGCTTTCATGACGTGGAGGTTGGGCACGTTCTTGTCAACGAGCTCGGGGTGCTTCGGCATGTGGACATCTTTCTTGGCCACCATCACTCCCTCCTTAAAAAGGAGTTCGTAGATGGCAATTCGGTTCTTCTTGGGCATCAACATCTAAACAAGAGAGTCAGTAAATCCTGCTGATCGAAAACACATTCAGAAGCTACCAGAAAGAATACAATTAACAACAGTGCTAGTTTGTAGGAAAAGCCAAAGACGTAAGTAACAAACCCCTGGAAGAACTTAATTATTTTTCAACACCTGAGCTGCTGGGGCATCCCTTCACTGTTGTTTTCCTGCGAAGGAAAACCGAGCAGTGCAGCCTTTTGATCATTAAATCACATCACCATATTAAAGGCTGTAACTTGTCTGATGTCAGTCAGAACAACAGACAAGGAATGACCCTGGTGGGGCACAGACACAGCTCACAGTAAGGCGTGTTTTGGCTCTACAACAGGTGCCGGAGGCCTGAGAACGTTTGTGTTGCTGTTGTTAATTCAGACTTAACTCGGGAGCTGAGGAAGGCTCTCCCGCTCCCCTCGGAGCCGGGAGCGGAGCCTGCCACCACATCCGCGGCCCACCAGCGCCCACCAGAGCCGCGCCACCCCGGTGAGGAGACCAACTCCAAGCGATGCTTCCTGAGATGCTGGACCCCGGAGTGGGACGCTCCGGCCCAAGCAGTGGGGAACCGCAGAGCTCCCGGGGCTCAAGGCACGGAGCTGCTGAGCGGCTGGGCGCCCTC